GGATGTTTCTAACCCCAGCCTTCAAGTCACTCCCGGCTTTCAAGTCTTCTCCGCTGAAGCCTCAGACAATGTGGAACAGAGGGATGCTGTCTTTGTTATACCCCTCCCAAATTCCTGACCCAGAGAGTCTAGAAATGGGTATTGTTTTATACTGCTCTCTGTGGGTTGACCTGTTACACAGCAATAGTAACTATGACTCTAGGACGGCATCCAAGTATATGGAGAGAGGGAAGTGACTTACCATCCCGATGCCAGAGGGCAAGAGTAGGATTTTTGTGTGTGCTATTGTCTGCCTCTTCCGGACTCTGAGGTAATGTCCCTAGTTCACCCAGCTGCTCTTTTCCTTGCTGGCATTGGTGACTATGGTCTGTGGATGTTGAACTGTCAGTCTTTTTCTATTTCCCTCTCTTTCTCTCTGGGCTAGGTTGGAGCCCAGATGGCTTGCCTGGGATAACTCATCCTCATTTCCACTCCCATAGGTATTGTAGACCCAACAGAAGATTCCTATGCCTCTCATCAGCCCCAGCTCCAGTGTTTGGCTTTGCAGCTCCTGTTAGTAACCCCCTTGCAGACTTGCCACAGAATGCCAGAGGTGACTCAGAGTCTTCCTCTGCCTGAGCATGCTGCTCCACCAGCCTGGGTATTGTTGTACTCCAGACAAATGAAAGGGCAGCCTGAGATGCTCAGTTTCGAGTTTTCATGAGGGATGGGGGCCTCTTATGCCTTTCCGCCGTTACTCTCTTTTATCTCATACATTTCTCTCTGTCCAGGTGAGAGGGATTCTGGCTGATTAAAGTCTTGGAAAGGGAAAATTGGGAAATACATTGGCTCTTTCTGCCGTCCTTCTTTTCCCTTTTCCCTTATTTTCTCATTCCTGTAATTCCCCAAACAGACTCTTCCCTGTCTTCCTACTATCCATTCCAACTTTTGGTTAAGACTTAATGCAAAAGATATTTTTCCTACATATTGGGAGAACTCTATGATCTGAGGTCTTCCAGGTTTGGACATTGATATTCTAAAGTCCTCAAGACTGAGTTGGATTGCAAGGCTATTATCTTGCTAAAAAATCCTATTTTGCATGTTAGAAGCTGATAATTACTTTGCTTTTTGGTTGCCATTTTTTTTCTGAAACAAACTGTGATCTCACCTTGGGCAAATGGTTGGTTACACACAGAAAGGGCAAAACTGTTTGTCATTTGGAGATGATTACCCCCTGTATACTTGGTTTGAGTGGCACACCAAATTACTTGCTTGTTCAGGACTCCTACCATCTCAGTTTGGCTTGGGTCTGAGCTGCAGTCAATATTAAGGTCCTTGAGGGGCGCCTGGGTGGCTCAGTTGGTTAAGCGGCTGCCTTCAGCTCAGGTCATGATCCTAGAGTCCCACATCGGGCTCCCTGCTCAGCGGGGAGTCTGCTCCTCCCTCTAACCCTCCCCCCTCTTGTGCTCTCTCTCTCTCTCTCAAATAAATGAATAAAAACTTAAAAAAAATATTAAGGTCCTTCAGGGTGAATCTTGGTGCAGCTGCTTTATTCTATCTTGTGCCTTTTGTATTAAACTTTGAAAAACATGAAAAACATAGCCTGCTTCCTTAAAATAACTACGCCTTCTAGGTTCCTAATAGTTTGTTATTGTCCTGTTTTGTTTGTTCATCTATTCCATATTTGTGTCCTTCTAATTCCTGATTATATGTTTAGTCACAAATTTATTGTTTGCCTTTACTCCTACTTTATATATTTGTCTTACTTCCTAGTTTTTACCCATTTCTTTTTGCTCTGATTCTCAGTAACTCAGTGTTCCAACATTGCAGATTATTCAGGTACACATTAGTTAGGATGCTTTTAGTAGATTGTACAAACCCCAGCTCAAGTCAAGCCAGACAATAAAAGCAATTTATTGGTTCACATTTTTTTGAAAAGTCAGGTTTCAGGAAAGGAGTGATACAGCAATGTCATCATGCTTCTTACTGACTCTCAAATCTGCCTTTTATGGTGTTGATTTCATGCTAAACTGATTGGAGGAGGGCAACTAATAGAAATCTGGGCTAGATGCTTCCTCATTTATGTCCAACAATGGAAAAAGGGTTTCTTTCCTCCAAATCACTGAACAGAAGTCTTAGGCTTTACTTTGTTTGGGCAAACTCAAAACACATGTCTGACGTTGGATCAATCACTATCATTGAAAAAGGAGTGAGGGATTATTGTGATTGTCATAGGTTAGATTCTGCCCCTACAGTTTGGAGTGGGATCCATCTACCCACATTGCATGGCTGTCACACAATGCGAAATGGGAGAAGTAGATTCAGGGTGAGTTGGAGTCACGTCTTAAAGTTTGCATGAGCTGATGTCTTCCCAACTCAGTGTTCACTGACCTCACTTTGGTAGCTCGAAGTCAGCCATAGCAGGAGTATTTACACCACAGAAATTGGCAGATATCACAAATAAGTTGTGTGGGATTTTTTGGTGGGGAGCTGGCTTACCAATGCACCTCTGATAATGGGAGGGACTTAATCTCATGTGTGTTAATAGGAAACAGTCTCTTAACTAGTTTTCCTAACTTCAAGATTGCTTACCCCTACTATCCACTTTTAAAAAATGACAGCTTTACTAAGATAACTCACATGCCACAAAATTCACTCTTTTAAAGTGTACAATTGAGTGATTTTTGTATATCCATAGAGTCATACAGTCATCAGCACAATCAATTAGACAACATTTTCATCACCCCTAAAAAGAAACCACATATGTATTAATCAAGGTTCTCTACAGAGTGAAACCACATATATATATGCAGAGAGAGAGAGAATTATTGTAAGGAATTGGCTAATGCAATATGGAGGCTGAGAAGTCCCACAGTCTGCTGTCTGCAAGCTGCAAACCCAGGAGAGCTGGTGGTGTAATTCAGTCCCAGTCTAAAGGCCTGAGAACCATGAGTACCAAGAGCAGGATAAGATTAATGTCCAAGCTCAGGCAATCAGGCAGGAAGGGACTGAATTCTTACTTCCTCTGCCTTTTTCTTCCATTTCTTTTATTCCCTCAGCAGATTGGAAGGTGCCCACCTACCTCCATTGGGAAGAGCAAACTGCTTTACTGAGTCCACAGATTCAAATACTAATTTCATCTAGAAACACCCTTACAGGCACAACTCAGAAATAATGTTTAGCCAAATGTTTGGATGCCCCGTGATCTAGTCAAGTTGACACATAAAATTGGCCACCGCACCCATTAACAGTCTCTCCTCATTCTCCCCCTCCCCCTAGTCCCTTGCAAAGTTCCTTTCTGTCTCCGTGGACTTGCCTATTTTGGACATTCTGTAGAAGGAATCATACAATGTGTAGTCTTGTGGTTTAGTTTTTTTCACTTAGCCTGTTTTCGTGGTTCATCTATGCTACAGCATCTGTCAGTATTTTATTGCTTGTATTGCCAAATAGTATTTCACTGTGTGGATAGACCACATTTTGTTTATCCATATCAGTTGATGACATGTGAGTTCTTATTCTAATTCTAATTATAGTTCTGGAATCTGGTCCTTTCTACCTTCAGTCTTTAGTACCTTCTTGCTGCCAGAATCCTTTCTTTAAAAACATCACATTTAAGCTTGTCATTCACCTGATCAAAATAAATCATCCTTCCTGCCTAGGAGATGCTAGAGGAACACATCAACCCTGCATTTGACGCTTCCTTCAATTTGACGGAAGCTTGCCTAGGAATGAGCAGATCCTGCCTCCCTGTGAGCAGGCACGTTTGGCCAGTAATACTCAAATCTCATTGAAAGGGCCTCTACTGAACCAAAAACCAACATACAAGCCCCAAAGAAATTAGACCCTGACTATGAAAAACAAAAGCCCAAACTATAGAAAGTAACATGGATATAATGTAGTTTTAGGATTTTGTCATTTATTTCATCTCTTAATTATTGAGAATTTCATGGGGGTACTGGAGGGATAATAGATCTTACAATTAGATAGTTAGTTTGAAGTCCTGGCTAAGTTGTTTAATATTGACATTCTTTAAATCCTCTTTTTCTGAGATTTTAAGCAAATTGTCTTTTCTTATATGTAAAGTGGGAGTAATAATTCCTATGTCAGAGTTCTGCTATGGATTAAAAGATATAAACACTCAACTACCATGCCCAACCCATAATAGACACTCAGTAAATCCGTTGACCCTATTATTATTGTTATGGTTGAATATATGGTTAGATTTTTCAATTATTTTCAATAAGGCCAATCTAAGATTAGAACTATTTTGGTGTTCTTTCATTGTTTTATAGTTCTGGTGATTTAATTTCAATATTGTGTCAGTGCTTTAAAATTAGTACCAATTTTAAGCAGAAATTAGATAATCAGTTCAAGGGCTTTATGTTCCTTGTCTACCATTACCCTTGATGTAATCTGAGAGAATCAATATTTCCTTTGGGAAGTGGTCAATGAGAGTGTCTTGTTTTATCACAACAGAATCTTCTAAGAAGTGCTTTAAGGATAAATACTTTAAACATGATGCTGGGTTATCCTGAGGTCAATTTCTCGGAGGAATAAATCTTTGAGTTTGGCATTTACGACTTGATAGCAACTATGAAAGATACAACCTAAGATATTATTCTTTGGAATGATTATAATTTTTATTAACTTTAAAAAGGTGTTGAATGATAGTTAAATTATAATTGTTTTGGTCTTATGTAGGCGATCATAAAATTTAAGTTGTTCTTTGGGCCATGTATTTATGGTTTACAAAAGTTTTACATGTGTAACAATTTATCTTTTTAGTTTTATAAATAAAACAACCACGAACTAGAGGCTTCTTTCAGAATTAAATTATTTATAAATACTGTAGCCATTTTTTTCATTGAAGCATTTGTAATTTGATATATTAAGTTAATTGTGTGTAAATTAAACTTGGATCATAATAAGACTAACATATTGAAGATCAACTTCTAGAAATCACTTGTTTTTACATATCTTGGTCATTCAATATTATTTCTCTTTCTCCCCCCACCCAATAGGATTATCCTTGTCAAGATGATTATTCAGTAGTCCACAGAAAATGCCGTTCTCAGTTCACTGATCTTGATGGTTCCAAAAGATCTGGCATCAACACTTGGCATGACAAGAGTGGGATTTATGCTAATTCATGTGTAAAACGAAAACTCTACCCATTAACTGGTGGTCCTATTATCCCCTTTTAAAAGTAATCTATGGAATCAGATTCTCTAACCAATGAAAGAATAATGGAAATAACAGTTGATTTTTCTATCCTAATAAATGCAATGGAAATATTACTATAGTAGGTTCCTTCAAAAACAAAATCTTACATATTCTAGGCCAGCATATATATATGCTTTTCATTAGCTGCTCTGGTATTTTCCAAAGTTTAGTATGTATACCACCGAGAGTGTACAACACAATTCTTGATGGTACTTGGTGGAATTTTCTTTTATTTATAGGCTATGTATTTATTTCAAATTTTATTAGAAAAAAATGCATAAAGCTAGCATAAAGCTTATGATTGCTCAGGATATGGCTGATTAAAAAAATAAGCTACCTTACATTCTATTAAGTGAATAAAAATATAGGTGGCACTCAGATTTGACATGAAACTCATATGACTGCATTTTGGGCAACACTGGCCCTATGGTAGTGGGGAACGTGACTATTTATAGACTTTGATTTATTCGTAGTAGCTGAATGCAGTGTGGATTGTTTATCCAGCATAGCGTTTTTCCTTACTTAAGATAATACTTTTTGAGTCCGTGGATAGGAGAGATGTAGACAGACTCTTAGTGAAACATTACGGTTTGATGGGAAAATCCAGTCATCTAATGTTAGATTTAGAAGAGATCTTGGCAATTGTTCTGACTCACCATCCACTTTAAGGATGAGCAAATAGAAACCCGCAGAGGTTTAAGTAGGTTTTCCTCTTACATAAATAGCAGGCTCTAGATGATCTTTGAAGTGCATTTGACCTTTTCTTTCTTCTTTTTTTAAGATTTATTTATTTATTTGAGGGGGGATACGAGCAGAGGGAGAGAAAATCCCAAGCAGATTCTGTGTTCATGCAGGGCTCGATCCCATGACCCCGAGATCACAACCTCAGTCAAAACCAAGAGTCAGATGGTCAACTGACTGCGCCACCCAGGCGCCCCAGACCTTTCATTTCTTTTGAGGATATGGGTTTAATTATTTGGTTGGCCTAGGCTTAAATTTACTCTCATTATTTTTCTTTAAAAAATAAATTCATGAAATAGCATTTCATGATAAATGCTAATTTAGCATCGCCTCCAACTCCAGCAAAATATGGTAAAGACCATAAGCCTTGTGAGTGGAGAATTGATAATTAATAAAGAAAATGTGGATATACCAGGTAAGCATTCACCAGCAGAGTTTGACCATAATTTCTTGCTGCTTTAAAGTATTTGCCTGCACACACACACATGCTATATATACACACACACACATATATATGTATATATATATGCATAAATATGTATATTATATATAATGTTAATTCTTTTTCTTATTTTTAATTGAGGTATAGTTGACATACAATATTATATTAATTTCAGATGTGCAACATAGTGATCTGACAATTATATACATTATGATATGCTCACCATGATAAATGTAGTTACCATCAGTCATAAAAAAGAGTTACTACAGTATTTTTGGCCCTCTTCCCTATGTATTACTTGTCATTCCCATAACTTATTTATTTTATAATTAGAAGTTTGTACCTCTTAATCTCCTTCACCTACTTCACCTATTCTCCATGATTTCCCTCCCCTCTGGCAACCACCGGTTTGTTCTCTGTATTCATGAGTGTTTTTCTGTTTGTTTGTTCATTTGTTTTGTTTTTTAGTTTCCACATATAAGTAAAATCATATAGTATTTGCCTTTCTCTGTCTGACTTATTTCACTTAGCATAATGCCCACTAGATCCATCCATGTTGTTACGAATGGCAAGATTTCATTCTTTTTTTATGGCTGAGTAATATTCACTGTGTGTGTGTGTGTGTGTGTGTGTGTGTACCACATCTTCTTTATCCATTCATCTATCAGTGGACACTTAGGTTGCTTCCATATCTTGGCTATTACAATAATACTGCAATAAACATAGGGGTGCGTAAATCTTGTTGAATTGGTGTTTTCATTTTCTTTAGGTAGATACCCAGAATTAGGATTACTGAATTATATAGTATTTCTAGTATTTTAATTTTTGATTTCTTGAGGATATTCCATATTTTTTCCATAGTAACTATACCAATTTCCATTCCCCCCAACAGTACACAAGGGTTCCCGTTTCTCTCCATCCTCACCAACACTTGTTATATCTTATCTTTTCATGACTAGCCATTCTGACCAGTGTGAGGTAATATCTCATTGTGGTTTTGCTTTACATTTCCTTGAGATTAATGATGTTGAGCATCTTTCCATGTTTCTGTTGCCCATCTGTATGTCTTCTTTTTTTAAAATTTTTTTATTGTTATGCTAATCACCATACATTACATCATTAGTTTTAGATGTAGTGTTCCATGATTCATTGTTTGTGCATAACACCCAGTGCTCCATGCAGAA